GCAAAAGAATGAAAGTAGACCATTATCTTACACCATATACAAAAATTAACTCAAAATGGATTAAAAACTTGAACATAAGACCTGAAACCATAAAATTCCTAGAAGAAAATATAGGCAGTATACTCTTTGACATCGGTCTTAGCAGTATCTTTTTGAATACCATGTCTACTCAGGCAGGGAAACAAAAGAAAGAATGAACAAATGGGACTACATCAGACTAAAAAGCTACTGCAAGGCAAAGGAAATCATCAACAAAACAAAACGCCAACGCACCAAATGGGAGAAAAAAAATGGCAAATCATATATCCAACAAGGGGTTAATTTCCAAAATATATAAGGAACTTATACAACTCAGCAACGAAAAGATGAACAACGCAATCAAAAAGGATATGAACAGACATTTTGCCAAAGAAGATAAACAGATGGCCACTAGGCACATTAAAAGATGTTCAACATCACTAATTAGTAAAAAAATGCAAATCAAAACTACAATGAGATATCACCTCACACCCATCAAAATGGCTATAATTAATAAGACAAGAAATAACTAGCGTTGGAGAGGATGTAGAGAAAAGGGAACCCTCATACAGTGCTGGTGGGACTGCAAACGGGTACAACACTACAGAAAACAGTATGGAGATTTCTCAAAAAGTTAAAAATAGGAATACCATATGATCCAGCTATCCTACTACTGAGTATTTATCCAAAAAAACGTGAAATCAACAATTCAAAGAGATTTATGAATTCCTATGTTCACCACGTCATTATTCACAATAGCCAAGATATGGCAGCAACCCAAGTGCCTATCAACAGATGAATGGATAAAGAAGATGTGGTACATATGTATACATATACACACACACACACACACACATATATACAATGGAAAACTACATAGCCTTAAAAAAAAGACAAAATTGTCCCATTTGCAACAAGATAGATGGACCTCGAGTGTATTATGCTAAGCAAAATAGTCAGACAGAGAAAGACAAACACTGTATGTTTTCACTCATATGTGGAAGATAAACACACGAGTAAGGAAAACAGATTAGTGGTTAGCAGAAGGGAAGGAGGTAGGGGAAGGGTGAAAAGTTTAGGTAAAGGGGCACATAGGTATGGTGACAGATAAAACCTAGACTATTGTTGGAGAATACAATGCAATCTATACAGAAACTGATATAGAATAAGGTACACCTGAAATTTACAAAAATTATAAGCCAATGTAAACTCTGAAATAATTTTTAAAAATAAGAGACAGAAAGAAAAAGAAAAGAAAGAAAGAAAGAGAAAGAAACACAATTCTCTCTCTGTTAAAAAGGAAAACAGAAATTTTCTAGAGATGTCAGGGTTTTGCCCTCACCATAAGTCAATGCTTTGAAGACACAAAAGACCTAATCCAGATAGGTTCCTCAGTCTTCATCTTGGAGAGAACTTTAACTCCGGGCTGAGATTAAGTGATAGGAGATTTAGAGATCTGGAAGGAAGGCAAGTTCACGGAGGAGTGAAAAAAAAACTGGATTCACTTGACTCCTAACTGATCTCTTGGGAGTAGAGAACCATTAGGAAAATTTTCTTTCTGTCTAAAACAGTTTTCCACAGGGGAATCATGTGCTTAGAGGTTTTGGTAACAAGAGGGAAATGTGCCTAATGAGCAGATATGGGGAGCTGTAAATATCTCCTCATCTTCAGTCTCTCAGTGTGTGTAAACTTGGGATAGAGGGAACATGGTTTCTGTTTGTTTGGAGTCCTGTTTCGGGCTGGGGGACTGATGCCTTATTCCTTCCTGCTGTCTTGTCTGGGGACAGAGCTCTAGTCTCCATCAATAACTATCCAGGAAGGAATTCAGACTTCCCTACAGAGACCTTTTTCTTAGAGTTTCCATCCAGGTGAGTCCAACAACCCAGTTGACCTTGCATGAGAAGGTCAGACAGAATGGAAGCCAAGAACATTCACCTGTTGTCACCTGAAAGCCAATTGAACCTAGTCCAGAAGGAAGAGATCGCTGTGTTTCTTTGCTTAATTAATTAATGCATTTATTTCAGTGGCTGCATAATATTTCATAGTGTAGCTGTGCTACTCACACTTTTGATGATCTTTCCTATTCTTTATCACTAAATTGCTAGTATATCAATGCTTAAAAAAATTTAATATTGTTAAATTTAAACTGTAGTACTAAAAGGGAGCAATTTTGTCGCCCAGGGCACATTGAGGAATGTCCAAAGGCATATTTGGCTGTCACACTGGAGAGTCATGAGTGGTGGCCGGAGATGCTCTAAACATTCTTTAATGTATAGGACACACCTCTTCACAGAGGATAATCTGTCCCAGAATGTCAATAGTCCTGAGACTGAAAAAACTCGAGTTGATGAATATCATTATTTGTAATATTTATAGGCGTGTTCAGGTTGTTTTTGAACCTTGTAACACTTCTCTGCCAGCAAACTAACAGAGTAACCCTTTTGTAACCAGTTTAAAGTTCCAACCCCAATCAATGTGACAGCTCTTTATTTTTTTTCCCAGGCTGATGGGTATGAAACAGACTTCTTGTTGTTTTCTTAAACTATTACTCAGTTTCACCAAACTTCATATATTTGACCACCATTTTGATTCACCTATTACTTTTACATTCCCATATCATATTTGCCCATTTTTTCCTACAGTTACCACCATTTCAAATGATTTCTACAGATCATTGTTTCTCAACTGATTTTTGGAGCATATTTTTGACCATACAGAATTTTAATTTTATTTAAATATGTCTATCCTCTTACTACTGAGTTTCTTTCTTTATTGAAGATGGTTTGGCCCACCTGTATATTTTTATGTATTTTTTTTGAGATGTTCATCTAAAATGTATTGGGTACTGTTACACTGAGATTGTAATCCCTCTGATTTTTTTGTAAAATGTCTGAGAGAGGGGACTAATTTCATGTTCTTCCAAACAGATAGTCATTTATGTAAGCTTTTATTTAACAATCTAGGCTTTTATAACTAAATTGAAATACAACCTTGCATGGACATGGCACCACTCATCAGGCCATGCTGAGGTGACATCCCACTTAGCACAACCAGAGGATTTGCAGCTACAATATCCAACCTCCTACTGGGGAGCTTTGGGGAGAAGAAGAAAAAAGAAGATTGGTAACAGGTGTTAGCTCAGGTGCCAATCTTTAAAAAAAATTTACTCATTTTAACTTGGTTTTATTATCTGTTCACTTGTTTCATTTTATCACTTTTCATATTCTTAGATTTGTCTCTGTACAAGTGAACATATACTCACATACCTTTGTGAAAAATAGAAAAGTGAACAGAGTGAAAAGTCCCTGCTCTTTTGGATCATGCATCACAATGAAATAAATGTGTATATGATGTAATGTCCTCAGGTGTAATCATATGAAGAATCTTATTCAGTATAAAAAGGTAGCATTGTCACGGCATGTGCAGGATTTAGAAAGTATAGTCTGATAGGCCTTTGCACATTGGATAAAGTCTAGAAACAAGATTAGAGTGTGCCCATTGGGTTTGTCAAAAGAGAGATCAAAACCCAAAGCCCAAAAGTAACAAAGAAAAGATGCCACATAAGAAAAGAGAGAGATGGGCTAATCTCATCCCCTATCGGACCATACAAAAACTAATTGGTCAAATAATTATGGAATAAGGCACAAGAAAAGCAAGACTTGTGCTTGATACTAAAAATGCCCAACTTCGTTATATTGTATACATTTTCTTTTGTGAAGTACTGGTTTATCCCTTTGCTCATTTTCTCTTGGGTGCACAATATGTAAGGTGTTTGACACCATAACGATATCACTACTTTTGTCTTTTGGACAAGTTAATTTTTGTCCTCTTATTATTTTTGCTGGGCATCAAAGGAATGTAATCAGGGTTGGAACGCTGCCAGAACCAAGGGAGATTATGCTTCCTCACAGTCTCCCAGGGACCATCTGAGCTCATAGACCTTTTTTCCTCCTCATCCATTTCATTCCTCTCACTCTGTTTCTCCATTTATTGAACAGATTTTTTTATGTTTGTTTAAATACATGGCAAAAAATAGTCATCCTAATGTGGAGCACCGAGTTTATTTGTCTGTGGGAGGCTTAAGAATTGGAATTTCTGGGAATCATTTCTACATTATACTGGGAAAGATCATTGACCTGGCCAGCTTGGGTTGTATCTATTCCTAGCATAGATGACGCTGAGAAAAACAAGGAAATAACACAACCCAAGAGGCCATGGTGTGCTGTGTGTGTGACTTGTGTAGTGTGAGCAGTCCGCAGAACACGGGTAGAAGGACTCATACATTCTAAGGTGATTCTTACAATACAGGGGCCAGTATTCAATCAAAAGAAGGTACTAAGGAGGGGATCGATTTCAATTCATGGGATGCCTTTGCAACAAGATTAATAAAGTGAATGAGGTAGTATGGATGAGGGAGTCCCTGTGCCTTGAGGTTTCAGCAGCAGCAGAGAGGCCACTTCACTCCTCAACATGTCTGACACCATCTCCCCTCACTCTTACTCATGCTCATTCACCTTGCAACACTGGCTTCACTTTTTTTGACTTGAACATTTGAAATAAGCACCTTCCTCGGGGTATTCACACCAGCCATTCTCTCTACAAGGCATTCACTTCCCCACACAACCTTGCATTTCTCTCCCTCTTACTTGAAGTCTCTGTTCACATGTCACCTTGTTTGCATATCTTGCCTAAATACTCATGAAAAATAGAACACTCTAATCATTCTCTTCTTTATATCTGTTTTCCTTTTCTTTATACCACTTGTTACCATATGAATGTTATATAATTTTATTGCTTACTTATATATTCTTTCTCCATGAATGAATTGCAAGGACTTTTGTTCTTCAGCACCCTATACTTATTGCCTAGATAGTGCCTCATGGACAGCACTCAATGTATTCCTGAAATACTCTCAAGGTCCATCCATATTGTCACAAATGGCCGATGTACATCCGAAAGCTATATAATGTTATAATCCAATGTTACTGCAATTAAAAAAATAGAGAACTAAGAAAGAAAGAAAGAAAAATATATATTCCTGAAATACATGAAGAATTTCTCATTAAAACTGTAGAAAACATGATTACTTAGGGGGAAAGCTGACTGGAATAAGAATTCCATACCATAGGTGGTATGGAGGATACCCTAAAAGGAACCAGATGAATACACAAAATATTAAAATTAATTTCTTGATGGTAGAATATAAATTGTAGAATTTCAAATATGTGAGTAATGCAAGTTTGTTTGAAAAGTAGTCATGTTATTTCCTCTTTCCTGGAAGTCACCTCAATCACATGGAACCAGGCAATGATACACAAATTTCAGAATTTCTTCTCTTGGGATTTTCAGAAGAACCAGAATTGCAACCTCTCATATTTGGGCTTTTCCTCTCCATGTACCTGATCACTGTGTTTGGAAACCTGCTCATCATCCTGGCCACCATCTCAGACTCCCACCTCCACACACCCATGTACTTCTTCCTCTCCAACTTGTCCTTTGTAGACATCTGTTTCACTTCCACCACCATCCCAAAGATGCTGTGGAACATCCAGACAGAGAGTAAAGCTATCACCTATGAAGATTGCATCACGCAGATTTATTTTTTCACACTCTCTGCAGTGTTGGACATCTTTCTCCTGACAGTAATGGCCTATGACCGGTTTGTGGCCATCTGCCATCCCCTGCACTATACAGTCATCATGAACCTCCGGCTCTGTGGACTGCTGGTTCTGGTGTCCTGGATCATGTGTATCCTGAATTCCTTGTTACAAAGCTTAATGGTGTTGCAGCTTTCCTTCTGTACCAACTTGGAAATCCCTCACTTTTTCTGTGAACTGAATCAGATGGTCCAACTTGCCTGTTCTGACACATTTATTAATAACATGGTGATGTATTTTGCAGCTGTCCTGATGGGTGGTGGTCCTTTTGCTGGTATCCTTTACTCATACTCTAAGATAGTTTCCTGCATACGTGGAATCTCATCAGCTCAAGGGAAGTATAAAGCATTTTCCACCTGTGCATCTCACCTCTCAGTTGTCTCCCTATTTTATTGTACAATGCTAGGTGTATACCTTAGCTCAGCTGCTACTCACAGCTCACACTCAAGTGCAACAGCCTCAGTGATGTACACTGTGGTCACACCCATGCTGAACCCCTTCATCTACAGTTTGAGGAATAAAGACATAAAGAGGGCCCTGAAAGCCTTCTTTGTGAAGGAAACCACAAAATTATCTTAGGACTGAAGAAGTCCCATGATTGCAGAGGTCAAAGCCTCAGATTCAGAAATGGTGATTATTTGATCAGACTGTGAAGAATATTGCTCTTTCTTTGTTTCCTGGAATTTCCATTTCTTTGACCTTGACTTCTCTACTCGATTTATGTAACTCACTTTACTAAGCTTTCTGCTCTCTCTGATATCCAACAGCTTTCTCTTTGTTGTTATCCTAATTGGCCAAATTTGTTTCCAACCATGGATCAGAAATATTTGGAAATTCCCATTTACCTAATGCGACAATATGGATTTATTCAGAATAATTTTTCTCAAATGATGTATATCATACCAAATAATTTTTCTTTTGTTTTACTAGAAGCAATGTCATGAGTTGTACTACTCCTATGGAAAAAACTACACTTGACGACCAAGGCAATTTCTATAATTTTACAATAGAAAAAATTGTGAGACCACTGTTTTTCACTTTTCTGTTTGACATTTCATTGTATATCACCATCTTAACTGCTCTTCTTCATAATATAGACTTTAACATACCAGTGGGATCCTTTTCTCTTTCAGCTTGGTGCTCACAATGCCTACCTTGGTCACTGACAAAATGATTATCAAACACATATCTCAAAGAGGAGTCTTCATTGAAAGACATATTATAATAAATACACCAACCTGATATGACCTTGATGATCAGCAAAAATAATAAAGGAGCAAAAATAAATTTGACCAGAAGACAAAAGTAGTGACATCCTTATGGTGTCAATCACCTTACAACTGAACACTCCAAGAGAAAAATGTGCTAAGAGAATAAACCAACACTTTACCAAAGGAAATATGCAAAGAGCAACAAAAGTTGGACATGTTATTTATGATGCAGTAGAAGACTTGTTTTTTCTCTGCCTATTTCATATTTATTTGAACAATTGGATTTTATACAATCTTATAGTGTGAGCCATGTCCTTTCACTTTTCTAATGTGGCTTCTTTCTTTTTCCTGGGCTTTGAGTTTTGATCTCTTTTTTTGACAAATACTCTATAAAATTCTGCACATGCCATGGTAATCCATCCTCTGACTCTGAATAAATTTCTCCATAAGCTTTATGCCTGAGGACATTATGTCATACACACATTTATGTCATTGTACTGTGACTTTACCGGTATAATGTAAGTACTAAAGAAGAAAGGCCTTCCTTGCATTGTTCACTGCAGTTTTCCAAAGTGGTATGTGAATATATGCGCACTTGTATAGAAAAAAATTTAAGAAAATGAGGAGTCATGAAATAAAAGGATTGGCATAGATAATAAAACCAGTTAAATAGAGTGGTTTATACAACTGTATTATACAAAATTGAATGGAACATTGAAAACTAACTGAAATATGATGTAAAATAACAGTAATTGAACAATATCAATATGAATCAATAATTAATTTATCAAAGACCTTGACATAAGAGAATATAACATCAAATGTACCTAGAACTCTCTGGCATGTAGCAGATACTCTGTTATTTGTTGAATTTATCTTAGTACATATGGACATTTAATATATGACATGGTATACTTCAATTTAGAGCATAAAGGTTGATTATTTCATAAAAGCTACCATAAATGGCTAGCCATCTGGAACAAAAGGAAGGGGTTCCCTATCTCACATGACTTAAAAAATTCAGAGGGGTTAAGGACCTCAATGTAAAGGGAAACAGTACATTGTAGGTGAACATGTTTAAAAAAATACATATAAAAGCTAAGTAGGTAAATCCATCATAATTAAGGCAAGAAAATCAGAAGTATACATGTTTAACTATATAAAATTTCAAACTTTTTTATGGACAACATATCCAACCAAAAGTCAATAAACCATAATTTGTAAAAATTACTTGAAACGCTAGTAACTGTAGAACCATAGGCATATAATTCATGGACATATAGTAATGATGGGTGCATAATAATGAACGTGGTGATCAAATGTATGAATATTTGCCCAAATTGAGTAATACTTTCAGGAAACAACAAGAAATCTCTTTCACATCCATCAGCCTGTGAGACAACGTAAAGATCTCTCTCATTTAATGGGGGTGAAATTTTTAAACAGGTAGCAGAAGAAGATTCTCTAATTTTGGTGGCAGAAATGTGAAGTGTTACACATTTGGGAAACCACCTGAAGCCAGCTATAAATATTAAAATACAGACTTTTTTTTAACTCAAGTTTTCTCAGTCTTGGCACTATCAACATTCTGGATCAGATCATTCTTTTTGGTGGGTTGTATCCTGTGTATTGGAGGATGTTTAGAGCATTCCTGGCCTCTTCTGACAACTCCCCATGTGACAGCCAAAAATGTCTCTGGACACTGTTCAATGTCCCCTGGGGGAACAGCATTGCCTGTGGTGGAGAATAAGAGTTTTAACATAAAAAGAAAAAGAGAAAAAAGACTGCACTGAAACAAAAAGACGATTTATGATGGGTACAAGATACTGTTCATGATTTTGTATAAAAGTATATGAGTATGTACACATGCATAGCACAGGAAGAGAAGTTTTTTAAAAAGCTAAAACCTTATGCAATAAAGATTGTCAGTAGGAATGAAATAAGGTTAAGTATAGTGGTATCAAAACAGTTGTAGGAAACAAAATTGAATGACAGTCTAAAACTTCCCTATATAAAAACATAAAATATAATTTAGTGATATGAATATGGGTCACTAATTCCAGAATAAATTTCCAATTACTTGGAAATAAAAGAATATAATAGAAGGGCTTTTAAAATTCAGAGGAAGCAGCATCTAAGTTATAATTTCATCTTATATAAAGCTATGTGGATTCAAATATGCTTATGGGAGGCAGAGGTAATTCTTAGTCAGAGGTAAAGAACATGCTTTCAAGATTACAGTTAAATACGATGCCACTTTTAGAAATAGATCTAAGGCCAAAAGGAATAAGAAATGACAGAATGTGAAAACTAGTTGGCAATATGTGTAAAGGGTGATTTATTAGCACTAAGTATACAGAAGAACATTCACTTCTTTTTTTTGTTTATAGAAAGGATTTGCAAGTGAAGAATATTAAAGTGACAGCTAAATTCTTTCAGCAAAAAAAAAAAAAATTAAATCTAGGGCCAGCCCTGGTGGCCTACTGGTTAAGTTTGGTGTGTTCCACTTTGGTGGCCTGGGTTCAGTTCCTGGGTGTGAACCTACACCACTCATCTGTCAGTGGCCACGCTGTGGTGGCAGCTCATATACAAAAAGAGGTAGATTGGCAACAGATGTTAGCTCAGGGCGAATCTTCCTCAGAAAAAAAGAAGAAAAATCTAAAAAAACAATAGAGAGGACACAAAATGACTGAGTGATAGATTTGACTTCACTTTATTAATAAACACCCACAAATCCCTGCATATACATCTATACATACATAAAAGAACTCAATGACTAACAGCAAAATTGGTGAAAAAAACTTTAATTCCTTGTTTGGAAGAATGCAACCAAAAACAGGAATAAAAACCCTCTGACCCCATTATACAAATGTAAAGCATTTGTACAGACAATTTTACAATAAAGAAAATACATGAATAAGTAACCCACAAATATATTCTGGTCACGGGTAATGAAATAATTGCAAAATAAAGGATTTAGCATACCATTTTTTACCTATCAAATAAAAACTTTTTTATGTGAATACCCAGAGTGAAAGAAGATACCATGAAATGCATGTCTCATGAATTACTATTGCAAGGCAATATTCACAAGCAATACACTGGTCTAGATCTTTCCTATCAATATGGAAACATATTTGAATATACCCCATCTTAAATATAAAAAAGAAATGTCCTCATTGCACTGGACATTCTTCCATGCATAGTACCCTATTTTTCTACTCCTTTTAATTTCACAGCTCCTTGGATATGTTCTACTTTTACTGGAAGCACTTTATGCCTCCCATTCCCTCCCCTAACAGGACTTCCATCTCCTAATTATCAACAATTACCCATGTGTTGTGAGTTCAAAGTTCACTTCCCTTTTTTCCATCATAAATAAATTCATATTTACTTAATCAGACAAGGAGACAACTATAGAGATCTCTAGGCTCTGGGCTAGGCTGGCAGCTGTCAGGTGATTCTCTCTGACCCCTTCTTTCAGTACATACTAGGCTCTCAGACTCACCTGGATGGGTAGTCTGAAGGGAAGGTCTCCACTGTGTGGAAGTCCGAATTCCTTTTGGATGATTGATGATGGAGACTTAAGCTCTCTCCCAGACAAGACAGCAGAAAGGAGTGAAGCATCAGTCCCCCAGCCAAACTTAGAACTCCAAAAGCAACAACCAGGTCTGCTCCGGCCCACATGTGCACACACCAAGAGACTACAGCAGAGGAGATATTTACAGCTCCTTATGTCTGCTTATTTGTCACATTTCCTTCTTGTTACCCCAACCTCCAGACATCTGATTTCTCCATGGGAAACTAGTCTGAAGAGAAGAAAAGTTTGTCTCTAAATTTTGTGTTCCCATTAGACCAGGTTAGAATTAAGTGAATTCAGTTTTTATTAGTTCTTTCTCATGATTTCTGCTGGCTTCCAGAAGTCTAACGTTGCAGCAGTCCCTTATCTCAATCCTGATTTAAAACTTTCTCCAAAGTCTAAGACTGAGCAACCCATCTGGATTAGATCCCTTGAATCTTCAAACTATCGACTTGTGGTGGAGACACAGTCCCTGATATTTACATAGAATTGCTATTTTCCTTTTTGACAAAGGGTAGAACTAAGTTCCTTTGATATAAACCTTGAGTGCCACATACCTTGGCTTCGTGACACATTTCCAAAACAATTAGGAAATTTCACATTTATATCACAAGTTAAGAGCTCTCCCTCATTATGAAATATTTGTTATTTATAAGAAATATCTTTAGATATTTTTGTACTATAATATGAGCTTGGAATAGGAAAGTAAATTGATTCTTCCCTGTAGCCTCCAGAAGGAACCCAGCCAAGCAAGCATCTTGATTTTAGCTCAATGAGACCCATTTCAGGCTTTTGACCCCCAGAATTGTAAGAGCATAAATGTGTTTGTTTTAAGTCACCAGTGTGGTAATTTTACATTAGCATTAGGAATTGAATAGAAACATTTATCCAATAAAATTTTATTCAGGAAACTGAGATTAAGCATATCAATTCATTCATTTAGCTTCCCCTGGAGAAAGGCATACTCTGCTGTAATCGCACCATAAGTAGAAGAAATTGGAATCAATTTGGAGGCATTCAGTCTCTTTAGTTAATGGAGAATTTCTCATGCACCAAAGTAAATGTGCTTCAGATTTTGATGCCTTTGAGGCATTAAGAATAGAAAAGTAATTTATAATTTAAATTTATGTCTATGTTTAATTTAAATTTTTGTGTCTATATTTTTATTCTCTTTTAATTTCATGTCAATTCAAACATTCATTCTTTTGATTTCTATCATCTCCTACTTTCTCTCAAGTTTCCTTTCAACATAAAATATGAGATTATAAATGAGGCCGTGTTTGTGTATTTATATGTGTGTATGTTTATTTAAAGTTAAAATGTGGATACAAGTACACACACGCATATATACATACCCACAACTTTACCTTTGAACATTTTCTTTGGACTCAACAAAATATGTACACACAAGAGGGAAATTCATTGCAACACAGGCCTATCTTAACAATCAAGAAAAATCTCAAACAAGCAATCTCAAACCACACCTAACAGAATTAGCAAAAGAAGAACAAAAAAGCTCAAAGTCAGCAGAAGGAGGGAAATAATAGAAATTAGAGCAGAAATAAATGAAATTGAAACAAAAAAACAGTAAAAAGGATCAATGAAACAAAGAGCTGCTTCTTTGAGAAGATAAACAAAATTGACCATCGCTTAGCCAGACTCACTAAGAAAAAAGAGACAAGGCTCAAATAAATAAAATTAGACATGAGAGAGGAGAAATTACAATGGATACTACAGAAATACAAAAGATTATGAGAGAATACATTGAAAAACTATACGCCAACAAATTGGATAATCTAGAAGAAATAGACACATTCTTAGAAATATACAACCTTCCAAAACTGAATCAAGAAGAAATAGAGAATCTGAACAGACCAATTGCCAGTAAGGAGATCAA